CTTGGAGGGTTGCTCCTCAAATCGGCGATCCTTTGCCATGGATTACGCTATATTTGAAACAGACTAGAGGTAATGGCTAGCCTCGAATATCGAACATTGCTGACTTTGCTGGAAGTAAGTAGACAAACAGCTTTTGAATTATTTTTATGTTAGAAGTACAACTTAATCTCTACTGAACATGTTTCGAGTCGGAGCTAAGGAATAATCTTACTCGTATTTGTGGTATTTTGGATTTTTGTGGAAATCCCATACCTTTCCTTACACGATTTCGCCGCCATTAACTTCTCAATACGCACGCGCGTCCGGCATTTTGACCCAAATTTCTGGCCATGTCAAGCGTGATGAGCAAAGGCCTTGAAATCAAGGCTGTCCATTTTTAAATCTAGTTAAAAAAAGAAAAACCTTGATGTCAAGGTTGTTTTTATGAGTTGCCTTAAAATTCAAGGTTGTATCAATATGTCCAAGAATCCCCCCGGGCTTATAACTACTCGTGCTCTATCAGGTTACAAAACACGGAACTGAGTTAAAGCTTTCATATCATCTACCAATTTGTGCTATGTCCGACCATTTCCCGGTGAAAATTGTGAAATTTCGGAACAAACGAGCCGGCAAGTAACAACAGAAGAAAAACCAAAGGTTTGTAAATGTGCCAAGCGTCGTAATCGACGTCATTATAACGTTAGTAGAGACGAAAATCCTTAAAGAGAAAACGAAACAGACTTTTCGAATTTTAATTTGAAGGTTTTCACGCTCAGTTAGATTATAAGCTTGCGTACGGGAATAAAACTAAGACAAAGCTAACACTCGTATGATATCATATAGTTTCCGACTCAAAAACAAAACAGAACAAAACAGGAATGATGATATTACCAAATATTACCAAACTGGCATAGTTTTAACTCATAACAAATGATAACGTAGTCTGAGTAACCATTACACGTCATCAGCCTGGAGTGCATTGCGCACTATTCAAGATGGCGGCCGCGGGATATTCGTAATGGCTTTCAAAACCCTTCTTGGGAAAATGATAAAAAAATCAGAAGAAATTTATCATGGAGAAATGTTTACAGCCAGTGGGTGACTAAATACAAACTGCAATACAGCGACGATGGAGTAAACTTTCACTATTACGGAGAATCCGACCATAGTCCGCCAAAGGTAAGGCTGTCTTCAAATATCCCTTTATTCTGTTTGGAACACCTGACGGCATTGAACAGGTAATGTTTTTAATAGCCTTTAGATTTGTATAAGTTTTGAGCTCGCATTAAGTTTAACTTTGAAGAGAAAGGATTTTGGTGAAAAGAGACGGGAAAAGAAAGAAGAACTAGGTGTGTAAGCATTTGTTTCTATCACAGATGGGCAGGAAAATCTTTTAACTCACCAAACCCCAGCGTTTCCAGTTGCACAGTGGACATATTTATACCTTGCATTACTCTTTTTGACCTCTTTTAGCGGACTACTGGGCACAAAGACTCTAGGCTCTGACTAGATTTGGTGGCAAATGTCGTTTCAAAATTTTGCCTTTCTTTCGCGATCAGTTCTCCTGATCTTTCTTAACGACCCAGATACAAGAATAATTACGGCAGAGGATAGTACATTAAGTTTAACTTTAGGTAGACAGGGTTCTGATAAAAAGTTACGGGAAAAGAAGGAACGTACAGACCTCTCTAAGTGAGCCTGACAATGCAAAGTACCCTTCTCTTTGAATCAATTAATTCATCTCGGCCCCCGTATTTATTGCCATTTTCTTGCAGAACCTAACAAACGACGCCAAACATTTTATTTGTTCTGTAAATAAAAAAATAAAAAAATTAAGCCCACGGTCTAACTACAATTAAGGACCTTTAAATTTTTATGCTTCTCTTAACCAAAGCAANTAAATAGCGCTATCTACTGCGAGGATCGTGCATCATACGTATCTAATACCGCAGTTCAAAATATATGAACTTCATATATTTCATTGTATCTGATTTATCACTTTCACGGGTTTATTACGAATCAACTTAACGGCCTGCTCCCAGTTGGCTTGTTAGCTCAATTGGTAGAGCGCTGCACTAGTATCGCAGAGGTCAGTGGTTCGAATCCCGTACAGGCCTGATTTTTTTCAGGTCTGATTTTCGCTATTGCATAAATAGCGCTATCTACTGCGAGGATCGTGCATCATACGTATCTAATACCGCAGTTCAAAATATATGAACTTCATATATTTCATTGTATCTGATTTATCACTTTCACGGGTTTATTACGAATCAACTTAACGGCCTGCTCCCAGTTGGCTTGTTAGCTCAATTGGTAGAGCGCTGCACTAGTATCGCAGAGGTCAGTGGTTCGAATCCCGTACAGGCCTGATTTTTTTCAGGTCTGATTTTCGCTATTGCTTAAATAGCGCTATCTACTGCGAGGATCGTGCATCATACGTATCTAATACCGCAGTTCAAAATATATGAACTTCATATATTTCATTGTATCTGATTTATCACTTTCACGGGTTTATTACGAATCAACTTAACGGCCTGCTCCCAGTTGGCTTGTTAGCTCAATTGGTAGAGCGCTGCACTAGTATCGCAGAGGTCAGTGGTTCGAATCCCGTACAGGCCTGATTTTTTTCAGGTCTGATTTTCGCTATTGCATAAATAGCGCTATCTACTGCGAGGATCGTGCATCATACGTATCTAATACCGCAGTTCAAAATATATGAACTTCATATATTTCATTGTATCTGATTTATCACTTTCACGGGTTTATTACGAATCAACTTAACGGCCTGCTCCCAGTTGGCTTGTTAGCTCAATTGGTAGAGCGCTGCACTAGTATCGCAGAGGTCAGTGGTTCGAATCCCGTACAGGCCTGATTTTTTTCAGGTCTGATTTTCGCTATTGCATAAATAGCGCTATCTACTGCGAGGATCGTGCATCATACGTATCTAATACCGCAGTTCAAAATATATGAACTTCATATATTTCATTGTATCTGATTTATCACTTTCACGGGTTTATTACGAATCAACTTAACGGCCTGCTCCCAGTTGGCTTGTTAGCTCAATTGGTAGAGCGCTGCACTAGTATCGCAGAGGTCAGTGGTTCGAATCCCGTACAGGCCTGATTTTTTTCAGGTCTGATTTTCGCTATTGCATAAATAGCGCTATCTACTGCGAGGATCGTGCATCATACGTAAAGATGTCGTTGTTGTTGTTATTGTGTATGTGTTATTGACTACTGACTGACCAACCGACCCACTGAATGAAGACTGATAGAAAGACTGACCAAAGCAACGATCGACAAACTGACTGAATAGCTGACCTATAAGCGACCAAAAGTAACCAGTTGAAATCAGGTTAGCATTTTTTGCGCCAAATTTAACATCTTGGGCATTAGGAGCGAGAGAAAAGAAATTCAGGGCCTGTGGATACATCGGTTTTCTACATACAAATCACAAAACCATGTTTTCCGAGACACTAACACTGACTTTATGACTGAAATATAGTTCCCTCAGCAAAGCTACGTTGCAACCGCAAAAACATGACAATAAATGTTCCTAAGACCCTCCTTCCTGGTATCAACCGTGAGCATCTCCGACTCCTGGACACGAAATGCAAAGCTGAGAAAGACGACACTTATTACAGTCTAACAACACCGCTAACCGCGTGTAAAACTACACGCAAGCACACGACTACAGATGTCGTTTACTCCAATATGGTCTTGAAAGTTCCCACAGCTTCCAAAAAAGCCATGATACGTGAGTTGAAAATACAGTTCAGTTGTGTTCATTCCAGTCATGGTGTGGTGTCATCGGTTGGTTGGAGAGCAGTCAATAGAAAAGTCATAATTAGTGAAGAAGGCAAAGGGAACTTCACACTCGTTTTGAATATGTTCCCTGACAAGAAATTTGAGATTCCTTACAAGGAAGAGGATTTTCTTTTATTTGTGGCACAGAAACGTCTTTTCTTGGAGGTATCGGTGATAAGTGATAAGCGGATGTCAAGTATTGCTGATCGATGTTATACCACGCCCACTCATCAACGAGAAAACGCACCGAAGTATGAGTTTATTTCGAAAGGGTAAGCCAAGTATTTGATCATATTATTTCTTGCAGTGGCCGTTAGACTTCAATTTAGAGTCAGAGAATACTTTTAACTACCTAAGCATTGCAAACCTTCTAAAATCTGGCCCTAAACGAAATCAACCATCTTCCAACGCTTGTGATGCTACATGCAAGACTTTCGCAGTAAAATTATAAGTATTGTGGAAACGCAATAAAATGCAATACAAAGCAAGGAGTTAAACGACATAATTTGCGTCCCCTTCTCTTCCTCTTCTTCTTCTTCTCTCGTTTTCTCGTCCAAATGGGCCAAGGTGTCATCAGCTTGAACGTAGAAGAAAAATAGCGTTGGTTGAAGACGGTTGTTTGGTTTGACAGTTTTTCTATTTGTTTAGCTAAATTATAAAGTGGATTTTTTTCTTAGAAGTGCCAACTATCCCTCTGTGGTCTACCATTCCGCACACTCGATCAACTTGCAGGGGTTTAGCATTGAAACCGCTAAATTTATTGGTACCGATTCGTTTGTATTTGTTCAGTGCCACGTGATCATATGCGACGCAACCGACCCAGATTCCCAATGTGCGAAGAAGTGTTCATCAGGTAACATAGGGAAACGTCAAGTAAGTGATCACGAGATGGATGAGCAGTATTCTTGGACCCAGGGTCCGCTCCTTCATGTTAGCGAGGAGAAAGAAGAGAAGGAAAGCAATGGTGGAGCCAGTGACGAAAAGAACGGTATGTACGCAGACTTCAGATTAAAACATTTCTAAAGAAATATATCATACGGTACATCGAATTAAGTCACACCTGTAACTCAGATGTAATTTGGCTCTCTGAAGTTATAATTAGAAAGCAGAGGTTGTCGTTGTCGGCGCTAATTACTGTTGCGTGTGAATGAAATAGCCGCGCAAAAAGAATACCCTTCATCAACTTTGAATAGTGGCTATTATGTTTTTTTTGTTTGGCTTTTGCTTTCTTCTCCCTTTTTGTATTTTTTTTCTTTTTTGGAGATCTTTGGATTTCAGCTTCTTTCATTATCAGGTCCTTGGAAAGATGACCGTTATCAATCTTAATAGATTGCTTTTAAGTAAATTATAAATACTTTTAAGCTATATTAGTAGCATGGTTACCTCGCCAGCCGGCAAGCAAACACATTAAAAGTATTGCATTTTCGGTTGAGTACCACAGTAAAAAAGGGAAAACGTCTTACATTGACCCCAAAATAATTTTAGGCTTCCTACAACAGTATGACCCCCTTCCTATTCCCAAGGTAGCGTCATGTTGCCTGCTATTTAAGATAAATGAGACACAATAGGCAATCCATTCAAGTAATTATGGAACTTTTAATTGATAAACAAGGGGTTGCTTAACATGGTTGGATGAAGGGATAATTTAGTTACCTATATTCTACAAAAGAACGTCTGTATAATACCTTAATACGTGGCTGCTTTATTCGTACTTCATTTATCAACTACCTTCTTGCTTCTGTTGGAGGTTTTACAGCTCGCTCGGCCGAATTAACGAGAGGTACTAGGACTCTGTATCTTTTCTTTTATTCTCTTCCAAAAGAGTTAAATTCTGCCACAGCGACGTTCTATGTTTCTAATGCTCTACGCATCTAATACTCTATGCATCTAATGCTCTAGCGAGAGGTACCAACGCTTTAAGTAGGAAAACCGTAGACATGTTTGGGTTAGCTGACCGTGAGAGTTTTCACAGTGCATCCGTTTATTTTGCAAAAAGATAGGAAAATGTGTGACCCTCACCAAAGCACTTTGACGGGCGCCAAGGAACCAATTGAACGTCAACAGCTGCGCACAGGAATCGCGCACACAAACAGGAACTTCAGTGTGGGTATAACGCAAGGTCAGCCTTACCAACGCAAACATGACCACCTATGAAACAAATTATTCTCAACCATAAGAAGCGATCAAAATGTCTAATACGGTTATTGGGAAAGCTGCGAGCTGAGCTAAAACAAAATATAATTCTACCAAAACAACACTTAGGCGCAAGAGGCAAGGCTTAACAAAACAAAAGTTCAACTGAAAAAAAACATCAAAATAACGACTTCTAATTTACTTCACAACACTTCTTTAGCTTCTGATATTACCTTCGTAGTTGGTCTGGTAATGATATGCATTGCTTGCCTGGCGGCCATGGGAACTGGACTTGTAATCTTTAAAAAGTTACGACACAAACGGTCTGCTGCAGAAGTTTTCAGTGGTCATGAGAAGGAAAAGCCTGAACATTGATGATACAGACCGGACTGGACTGAGCTGGCCCTATAGGGCACTTGAGTTTGAGAAATACATAAACTTTCACTAGATGCGCTGTTGCCTTTCTTTAATTGTTCTTTGAGAACTCAGTATTTTACACGAGGACTAGTTTTTCAACAACTTATGTTAACGACCTCTTTCTGTCTTTTTGGTATAACCAATGATTGGAAATCGCAAGTTCAATTTCCTGGTGTAGAAGTTGGCCAACACTTTTCGATTAAACATAAGCCGTAGGCCACCTATTTCCAGAAAAATCCTAACAGCAACTCAAAAACATGAGCGCGGGTGGGAACTCAACGTTGATAAATAAATGAATAAAGGCTGATAGTTTCGAAAGAAACTGTTTGGGGCTGCGTCGGTGGGAGTAACGAAATAATTTGGATATATCAACAAAGTTGAAATGGTAAATTGGCCACCGTAATGATTACAAAAGCTGACGTTTCGAGCGTTAGCCCTTCGTCGGAGCGAATAGAGGAATTGTGGGTTGTGTGTGCTTTTAAAGGCAGAAAATGGAGCTACGTTATTGGTGGGTGCATGGCAACGAGAAAAACATGAATAAATTAGTGGAATGAAAAGCGTTCATTGATCCCTGTGGGATCAATGAACGTGTGTTGATAAATAAAGTGTGTTGATAAATAAAGACTCCTTCAACTGCAGGATAACGCAAGTGATCTGCTCACAAGTGTTTCCAATTTTTCACTTGATTGGCTTACTGGGTAGTGCAAAATCTCAAGACCAAGCTGCATGAAATCGAAAACTGCTGGCTGAGTAATTGTTTGTGAAAATTTTCTAATCAGCGATGAGTATGATAACACTGGTGACATCAAAGCGTACCGTTAGAGTTTGCCTCGCTTTAGATTTTTTCATATCTAAGATTAAGACAAATATTCATAACTTATTTAAGTGGGCTTAGCAGGATGATGATGTGAAGATATCTGTTTCTGGAGCCTTGAATACAAAGGGAAATCAGGAATATTTTTCTTCGCCAAGTCTTTCTATTCCTAACATCTCTCCAGGTACGCTTTGATTCCTTAACGTTTAGACCTGGAGTAGAAATGTCTTCAAAATCTGGTATGAATATGTTATCTCACATATTAAAAGATATTATGTAGCGATTTAATGCTTAAAAATTGTATTTCACAAGCCAAGGCTCTGTTTTATTCCTAAAAAGTTTGAGTAGCCTTAAAACTTCGACTCTGTCGACATTACAAACAGTGTTCCGTTTGCAAGGTTGCCGAAAAGTTTAGTTCTGCTTCATGATGCCAAATGGATGTGATTTACACCAATTAAAGATACAAAGCTAGTATTGTTTTCAAACGAGTCATAACGAGTAGAAAGCATAATAAGCTAAGATTCTTTCATCGTCTTTTACCTCATTGAGCAAAAGATAGAACTTTTACCTAAAAACACAAACTGTTTAATTAGTATAAAACCGCTGCACTTTCGTTTAAGCAGTCATAAAGGTAGCACTGTTGTCGTTTTTGCCTTGAGGTACAACGCTGGTACCATGCTGCTGTTACAATAAAGTAAGTATAAATTATATTGTATGCGTTATACTTAGCATGGAAAATCGTCGAATCTGTAATAGAATTCAGTTCCCTGCACATTTACGGTTTTCATTTCAAATTAAATCAAAATTATGACCAACTATTATGATATTCAGTCTGGGTTTTTCATTTGATTCATTTGAGATCAAAGATTAGAGAAGGTGTAATAAGAATCAGGAATCCTGCATAGAGTCATGAAATTAGGAAAAAAAAAAGGGCGGAAAGTTGTCGATCTTGAAGAATGGAGGTAAATATTAGTCTCTGTTGAATGAGGTAGAAATTTACTGAGCTATTCTTATACTCATCACCAATTAAAACACCTATCATCTTTGCTTTAATTTCAAAAATTGACGGAATGACCCGTGCTTTTCTTCGAGTTGGGTAAAATTGGCTAAACTGTCGTGGAGAACTAGTAAGACCCCTCAGTAATCCAGGTCCATCATACAGCTCTTGAATTTCTTAGCAGTTTTATCGCCACACTATAGATCTCAAAGCTTATTCATTTCATCCATCCTGAGATTTTCTCTGTGAAGTACTTTCGTTCGTGTGTCTGATTGAACGAAATATATTTTTTCACCGTCGTTCGCTTCCAATCTTTGGCTAAATGCGTCGGTCAGTAGTTAGAAACGGGGGGAGGGGTCTTAGTCATTTCGAAATTTCAAAAGTCTTCCTCCTGTTTCGATGACTCCATATCATCATTCTCAAGTGAGAAGAGAATAAAAATGAATAGTTAATTTATACCGTACGAAGGTGGGAAACGTAAAAAAGTTTAGAATATTTAAAATATTTAAATAAATAATTGCGCGTGTTGAGTTCATAAATGTAAACTATTAAATAAATAGTTTCGCGCGTATGGAATCCGATTGTTTGTTCAAAGAGGGCTTCATCTTCTTTATGAAAAGCATTTCATGAACTAAACAGTCCAGTTTCCCGGTGCACTTTTTAAGTACGTTGAAATGCTTGGTCAGGTCGCCGATGGTTTGTAGGCCGTGGTCGTTCTTTAGATGTTTGCCGATGGCCGAATTACGGTGCTCATTAATACGTTGATGTAAATGCCGGCTGGTGTACCCGACGTACTCTGCATCACACAGATCACATTTATAATNTCTCTGAAGGAGAGCTTAGACATTTAAGAATAAACACTAGCGAGAAAAACACACAACGTGCACCGGGAAACTGGACTGTTTAGTTCATGAAATGCTTTTCATAAAGAAGATGAAGCCCTCTTTGAACAAACAATCGGATTCCATACGCGCGAAACTATTTATTTAATAGTTTACATTTATGAACTCAACACGCGCAATTATTTATTTAAATATTTTAAATATTTTAAACTTTTTTACGTTTCCCACCTTCGTACGGTATAAATTAACTATTCATTTTTATTCTCTTCTCACTTGAGAATGATGACATGGAGTCATCGAAACGTTGTGTGTTTTTCTCGCTAGTGTTTATTCTTAAATGTCTAACAAAATCAAATGTCATTCTTCCTCCTGTAAAATTAAAATATCATCGACACATACACTGTTCATGTCTTTTTTACAAGATTCAACACGATTGCTTGTATCCATCGACAAACTCATTTTAATATTGAAATATCAGGATCAAATAACTCCTTCAGGAGGTAAATCGTTTGTAAGTAGAACTAGCACGAGCTCCTCTAGTACGAGACCACGTTTTGGACCAAACCTCAGGTAATAGAGAACTGGCTCGTTCTCATTTACAATTGTCTATCGATGTTATAGATCTTCAAAGAACGCACAGGACCTGTTGCTTGCCTTTGACCGCCGTTCCAACTCGCCAGATGAATAGAGATTTTTCACATTCTTTGAGGAGTCGAGTCGCTTCACCTTCAAGCCAAATGGTCTTTAAAAAGTGGTTGAACTCTTTGCGTCAATTGCCTTTTTACCTCATGATAATGACTTAGTTATACCAGGAGGTCTAGGTATGGACGCAAAATTCACTCACTCAATTACTCACTTACTCACACACTCACTCAATCACTCCATTCTAATCTGTTAGACAATTAATTTATGTATTAAACCTGTTTTCCCCTGCCTCCCCACTGTCTCCTTTACGTGTTCATATAACTAGAGGGTGGGACAGAAGTGGAAATTTTTGCCTGAGGAGGTCAACATAATAATCAAAATGGCGTCTGTCAGTGTACCGACGCTCAAATTATCAAAGCGGTTTTCCTTCCTGTCGCTCCATCCTTGATTAAATACACCCTCATAAACCTCACAAACGAAGAGGAATGTTCGAAAGAATACTCAAGTTGAAATAAGACGTTTTCAAAGTCTTAAAAGCGATGATGACACAGCACACCTGCCAACCCCTGATAAAGGAAAATCTGGAGACCCATGAAAAAAAATCTGAAGATTCTACAAAAAATAGTGAGATTCGATTTTTTTCCAGATCAAGATTAAAAATAAAACTCTTTTCTATCGGAGAAAGTCATAAATAGTCTATTTAAATGTTACCTTGCTTTATTTGTGTGGCATTGCGATTGCTTCCCGCGCTGAACTTACAAAGACTTGATGTGTATGACGTATTATGACGTGTGAGTCATGGGATTGATGGGTAATAAATGATGATTGAGTTCAACCACCGAACTAGAATGTTGTGTCTCAACTAATTGGCGAAGAGGATTTTGATGCCCAAATGCCTAAATTGCTTTTTAAAATTCATTCCTTCGGAGATAGGAAGAAATTTTTCTAATCAAGTCGTCTAAATTTCTACAGAATCCGGTCAAATCACTCGTAAAATAGTCGTCTTTCACAACAACCACGTGCTCTTCGACCGATACAGGAAAATGCCAGAATCCGATCAACCTGGTGGATCTACACCACAAATTCCTACACAAATGACCACAACTGTTGGCCAAATGGATAATTTCGATCCAAACAAATAAAATTGGGAGTGCTAATTCGAAAGATTTGAGCAATTCACCGTAATCAACAACATCGCACCAGCGCGACAAGTGGCATGTTTACTCGCGGTAATGGGTTCATCGACGTATGGCATTCTACGAAACCTTGTTTACCCGGAAAAGCCCAAGGAAAAGTCTCTAGATGAAATTTCTAACTTTCTTGAGGAACGTTTCACCAAGAAAAAGGTTAAAATAGCCGAAAGATTTGGGTTCTACACTGCCATGCAAGAGTCAGAAACTATTGCACAATTCGTGTCTCGTCTGAAAAAGTTGGCAAGGTATTGTAATTTCGGAGACAAGCTGAATGATATGATTCGTGACCGACTGGTGTGTGGAATCAAAGATTGAAATACGCAAAAGAAGCCGTTGGTGGAAAGTGGTTTAACCCTAGAAAAAGCCATTAAAGTAGCGATCGCCGACGAAGCAGCGAACAAAGACGTCGCAGAGCTCGCGAAAGCTAGAGGCCTGGTTGCAACCAACGAAGTTTATAGAATGAAAGT